TGTTGGTCCGGTGTTTACAATTTTTACAGATTTTTCTGTGATACAGTTTCAGTAATGGAAATTTTCATGAATTCAGGGTACGGACCCCTTATGTTTAACGTAAGAATGATGGAATCGGTGTTATTAATTTTGTAAGTTAGCTAAGTTGCATCAATGATTTGAAAACCATTCATGTTCTATACTAATATCATGCGGATAAGTTGGTACAATTATTAGGAATCCCATACAAGATCTATCTATCTATGTACATTGAATAGTAATAACATTGTGTAACTATTTTTCAGGAGACGAAGCAATTATATCGATGTCTGTGGCTGGGGAGGTAACCGACACTTCAATAATGGAAGTGGGCCGTTCGAGACCTCAATTCCAGTATTCCAGGGTAGGATATACATTGTATCGTCGCTTCTGTAATGTTCATATAAAAAACAAACTCTTTGTTTACAGGAGGAGTTGATAATGATAAAGTTTCTGCCGTTATCTATGAGGAGGCCCGATTTCTTAGATACCTCGTACAATAAGTATGTTTTGCATTACGTAAATTTATTATTCAAACCGTGTTACTTTACAAACTGTATTCTGATTTTCTCCGATGCTCAATTTCTCATTATGCTTATCTTCTCTCATTAAGTTCGCGCGGTATATGGGATCCCGAACGTTGGCATTCGGGTAGGAAGCGAAGCGATACACCCCCGAAAGACGAAAGGACCGGACGTGGTGATCAAGTTGCTGAAAATCATAACAAACGTCGTAACGGTGATCCACGAGAACGAATCCGTAAAGAACAAGACGGAATAGTTCTGAGCCCTCAACGCAGAAGTTTTAATTCGGGTTGCTTCGTTAACGTGAATCAGCCCTCGAAACGACGACCCGAGAGCCCCATAGGAAAAACAGAGGTGAATTATTCCCCGAAGTATTCGTTTCCAAATATATTGGGAGATGAGAAGAAGGTTAACGGAAGGAATTAGGGTAGGATTATCAACAGTGGGATGGTTTGGTTGAAAGTCTCTGCTGCACTCGGTGCAGTCAGTGTAGAGATATTTTCTTTATTATTTCTCAAGAGTTTAATTACACCTCCAGATGTTAATTTCGACTACCTTAATTTAACCATAATTACACTTTATTTACCGGGAGCCTATTTACAGGATTT